TGTCCCTCCTTTCAACCCTTTGTGTTCTACAGTTCTCTCTTCTCTTCTCTACATTTTCCTTCTATTTTCGAACCTGAAATCTATTAGGGTTCAAGGCTGATAGCAGTCTTGAACTTCTACTAATTCAATTAAATAATTGGATATTTGATTTTATCTGAATTCAGCCAATTAATTATTTTAGGCAATTAACATAAATATATAACATATAAATATTTTTATATAAAGTATATAAATATATATAAATTATTTATGTAATTTATATTATAAAATAAATATATAATCAGTTGAGATATTTATCAAATCAAATCATGTCACATCCAAACCCAACTCGATTATGTCAAATCTCAAATTTGAACTCGGATTTTTGGGTATAGTTTACACCCCTATTTGTTGACTATCAGCTTCACATCCAAATCCAACTCGATTATGTTGAATCTCAAATTTGAACTCAGATTTTTGGGTTAGGGAACCTTGCAGCAACAGATCCTTTTGAATCAATTCATATCCCATACTATATCTTAATTACATGAGCACCTGAGTTAGGCCAGTGTTGTCACACCAAACCCAATGAAGTCAACCCACCACCCAACTCCAAAACCAAGTTTGAAACAGGTCTACCAAGTACTGACAGAACCAAACAGCCCATTTGTTTTTCCAGATCCGAACCATTCTACCACCATTAACCTTAGTAACTACCAATCAGGGAGCATAGGTGATTATTAATTACTGTACAAAATCAGAACTCACAATAACAAAGTCAACAAGATTATATCTCATTGATATGACTAATTTCATAATATAAAATTTAATTTAGACAGTTTGCACATCGTAAGTAACTTCATTGAGTTAGAAAAATAAACCAAACGTCAGGAAGCTGCTATAGAGCATAATAATGTAAAATATATTTATAAGCACCTTCCAAGAGGGCTTGAATTGCTAGTATAAGCAAAATACCTGCAAACAATTTTGACTGCAAAATGTCTCTGCTGAACAACTTCGAGTGGCTAGCAATTTCATTCTACCGAGACACTCTTTATGGTCTACAAGAAGGAATTAGAAACAGATTAGTCTTTGAAATAAGAATGACCAAAACATGTAAGGAATTTATAGGAGACCAACACTGGCGTGTGCATTGATAGCAAATCTCAGTGAATGACTGGCCATCAGTGTTCGCATCCCTCGAGTCACATATACCACATCGACAAGAAGGACAGTACCATTTCCCTTCAGGAACATCCTGAAATAGAACAAACATCAAACAGGTCACTTTCCATTCAGAAACGATACCTACTAAAATTCTACATCTCATTTAATCTAGGAAGATATTAACAAACAAGTAATATTTGCCGATCTGCACAGATTAGTTATATCACAGAAAGTCAGAAGCTACCTCAGAAACAATTTAGACAATGTGAACATATAATGCTGCCAAAGGATATATTTCACAACATTATAACACTTGGCAACTCAAAAATAGAAAGAGAACTCTTTCAACAAAGAGAACTGCAATTTTTCACCACAAAAAGCATGTATACCATGTAACTGCTTGGGGTGATGCAAGGATCTGTATGTAAAATCATTAAACATCATAGCTTAACCAAAAAAAAACCGTTGAGCATCATATATACAGTGACAACTTTACCAACTTGTTTATATGCTTGGCATGACCCAAGAAGCAAGCGAACACCTTTCCAACAAACTGACTTTGACCATGCCAAGCTCATGGGCATACAATTTGACTCCTATAAGCCTGCCACATAAGGGTGACCTTCAGGGCAGGTCAGACTCTGGTAGTGTTTAACACAAGGGCTATAGAGCTAGCTCAGACATGGCCCTAAGTAGGCCTGCACCAAGACACTGTGTCTTAAGCATATTGTACCAGAATTGTTACCTGGTCTAATTTCTTCCACCATGAAATATCAAAGTTAGAACCTAGAATACTAGTAACTTTGGCATAATAAAGGGAAAATATTATGATACTTATAAGTCACAGAAAGGAATAGTGAGATGCTTTGAGTAACTTATACGGTGCCCTGAATATTTCAGTGTATTAATAGTTAGATTGAGAGTTGGAAATTTTTAGCAAAACCAACCAGTCACTTCTCTGAATCAAGCATTCTTTACAACCTTAGAAACATAAATAATAAAAATTCTAATCAGATCATGGCTCAAATTTTTTACACAAATTGATAAGTTATGATTTCCCTGAGAAAGAGTACCTTTTTTTGGTGAAAAGAAAGAGTACCTCAGTCCAGTGGAATTTTTACAGAAAACTAGAGAACTCAAGTACCAAGCACAAACTGACAAACTAACGTTTCCTTTTTTTTTTAGGTATTTGTTATATAGTTTAAGTAGATCTTCACCATTGATAGAAGTTACAGAGTTGACTAACATAGCTTTTGAGTTTGGAAATGACAAATTTGACCACCTGTTTCAGATGATAGTTTTCTTTTTTTTTCTTTTTCTAGCCCTTCGTTAAAATAGGTATACGATCAATAATTCTGGAAACAAAAGGCTCACCTTAAGGTCAATGCAGCTCAAATGATATGAGGATGGGCAGTAATCACAGAGAATAAGCATTCCTCCAAAATGGCACACAAAGCATACTGCATCACTTTGTTGGCTACTATGATACTTCTTCCTTCGCTTTTGAGGACAGGATACCATATTTTTAAGCCTGACCATTTTGTCAGAATTGGAAGACAGAAGAGAGTGACAACAACGTTTAATATATCCATCAGCTCGATTAAGGGATAAATCAATTGCCCCTTCATCTTCCTCTGACTGTGATTTGATATTAACACTGACCTGCTGAATTTCTTGAAAGGCCCTTTTTCTTGCATGTAGACAATTGTTTTTTCTAGTGACAGAAAATGAAGCCTTTCTCTTCCTTCTCTCGTGACTGATGGGAAATGCCACTGTTAAGATATTCATATTCCCAGTTTGATTTGGTTCCATCAAATTCTGCCTTTCAAGAACTGAGTGATTGCTTTGTAATGCCTTTTCACTTTTTCCAGTTAAGTGATCAACCAGAGATTCATTATCCTTAGTTTGGTGCAACAAAAGGTCCTTTGGTTTCTCTACGGTCTTCTTTGTCTGGGCACTAAGCTTCTTATTATTGGGCGGAACACATAATACCCGTCGTTTTCTCTGACCAAGGCAATCAATGGGGATTGGTTTTCTGTTATCTTTACCAACAACATTACACTGTTTAAAGAAAACATCAGTTGACATTTCATTTCCTGTGCCTGAGGTGTCAACTAGAAGTCCCTTATCCTTAGTTTCATGAATTACAAGGCCCTTTGGTTTTTTTGGCGTCAATATTTTCTTGACTGGCTTCTTCTTTTCTTTAGGTTGAACGATACCGGATATCTTTCTTTTACACTGAGCTGAGAAATCAAAGGGGACAGGATCACAGGTACTTTCAGTAGTAGCATTACTGTGCACGAGAGAAGCATCATTCACTATTTCCTCTTTCCCACTTGAAATCACAAGGGACTCTGGTTCCAATATTTTCAGTCTCAACTTAAGTGGCTCATTTTCTTGTTGAGGTAGTAAAATAAGAGACAACTTTTTAGCCTGACCAGAGCAGTCGACCAGAATGCTTTCAGAGTTTTCTTTCTCAACTACCACAGCCTGTGAACATGAGTTGACCTTACTCTTCTTTGGTCTTTTAGAATTCCTTCCTTTAGTAACAGTCTTATTGATTTCCTTAGGTGAGTTATTAACTGCCTTTACATTTTTTCCTCTAGAATTATTAGCCATGCAAGCATTACCCGTGCCTTGGTTGTGAATGCCCTGCAATACCCACTGCAAATCAATTGACTGCTTCTTTTGTTTGGGTAAAACAGGAGATGATTTTACGTTATTTATGCTTGTGTCAATGTGGAAGCTATTGCAGCTGCCTTGTTGAAAATCTGGAGCACGCAACAGCAAGTGAGTATCAATCTGCTTAGAATTTTTTGACTTTTTCCCTTTTTTCCTCGAGACACCAGCTGGAAGATTGGGTGGAAGAAGCACTTGGCGACTAGATTCAACTGCAATCTCCATAGCAACCTGCATGAGGTACTTACTCCACAAAATCTTGATACCACATGTCCACTCTGAAATCATTTCCACAAAACCAGCATTAACTCGTAAATTGTACCAAAGCTTCTTCACAAAAGCAGATAACGGTGTATCTCGCTCAAGTTCCTCAGCCAACCCCATCAAAACCCAGGTGCCTCGATCTCTCCAACCACCCGAGAATTCATCCCAATCACGGCTTATGCGCAAATCATCAACCTTGAACTTGCGCTCGTCCCCCTCGTCAGGAAAAAACACAGAACGTTCCTCCGAACCCTCTTCCTGATCAAACACCACGCCCTCCCACCATGCGTCCTCATAGAATGCATCAACACAGAGACCATAAGTCAGCTTACGCTGGCATGTTTTAGTTGACAAAGGGGGAGGTGGGGGTCGGATACATCCACGGTAGGTTGTTCGGACACGATGGCGGAGGCAGAGGCCCTCCACCGCTTTTGTAACAGGTATGGCCTCTACAAGCTTTGACTCACCTTTGTCACATAGAAGCTCGTCATACTCAACAGAGCGACTTAAGTCAGAGACTGCAACAACTATTCCAGGATGCCATGAGCCACGTAGACCTTCCTCAAATTGCCTCACCTAGGCATCAACCACCATATCAACACAATTCAGCTCTATTCATGCATTTCATCAAAATCAGAAAGATAAATTTAAATTTCGACAAACAGCCACCTAAAGTACTGCTTCAAACATTGACAATAATTTAACATTAAAAAAATAAATAAATGAAGGAAAGCTTATGGAAGCAAAAGAGATTTCACAAGAAGTTGCCGATGCCTATTAAAAAAAAAACATTTTCTCTGGCATACCTTATATCGCTTGGTTCCAACGAATTAACGGAAATGACGAGATACCCGGAGACTATAATGAACAGAACATGGAGAAAACAAGAAAAACAGAGTATATGTACCCACCACCAGTATAGTGGTTCAATCTCAGCTTTACTCAATCTCTTCGAAAAACTCATAAGTTAAAGTTAAAACATAAGAGAAACTCACCCATCAAAAGAAACTATAAAAGAACTCTACAACTTGGGCAATCAGAAAAAGCTACAAACCTGACAGAAATTTAGAGAAAAACGCATTGTAGAACCTAAAAGCATTCATTGCCAGTAGATTATATGAAGAACGAATGCATTACTCTACTGGGAAGAGCGAGTAAAACAATAAATTCATCGAAATGATGAAATCGAACAGAATAGAAAGGAAAAGGAAAGAAAGAAAGCAGAAATAACGGAAATAAAGTAAAGGATAAATAGACTTACCTCAACCTTGTTACGAAGAAGAAGCTTTCTTTGATTCATTGTAAAGAAGAAGGAGAACAGAGAGAAAAGGCAGAGGAATGTAGTTCAGTGTAATGGCGCAATTTCATGCTTCAGTAGGTTCTCGACTGCGAGTCGACCAAACCAGCTCTCTGCATGACATAGGGTTGGAGCTCAGAAATACTGCATAATCTAAATTCATTGTAGATAAACTACTACTGGCTCATTCCACATAGATGGTTCACGCCCATGTTAATCCCATCCGTTCAATACTAGAATGTCTCTTTTCATCTTTTTCAGTAGATATCCTGGCCATCTCTTCGAACGCCCACATTGTAAGGTATATGAAAATCTCAATGTGCGACCTATCCATGTTGTATTGTACCCACTTAATGGTGAGTTCTTCTTTACTACCAAAACAAAGAAAAAAGAAGGAATGGTGTAGGTCCCACCTAACTGCCATCTGTGAAGAAGGGGTTTCTAAGGTACAGCCTGCACCATTCTAAATCCAATTGCTTGGCACTGGGGTCCACATTTACAACCAACCATTGAACGGGTAGGCAGAAGAATAACCGCATGATGGCGCTGGTTTTATTATCTTTTGAATGATTTTCTTTTTATTTTCCCGCTCAGTTTTTCTTTTCGGTAAAATTGGAAACGAAACGGATGGCAAAAATGACGGACAGGATTAGGCCGTCCGAGTTTGATTATAGATTAACAGTTGGAGACTTCGCTTGACTTGGCTCACAAGTCATATAAATCCCGAGTCATGTCGAATGTAGACCGGATCAGCTTCAAACACTTGGCGCCTCACAGGCGCCCCACACGCACATCCTATCATGCATTGGGAACATCTCCCATTGATTATTATTCACAGGAGATGTTTCCAATGCATGGTGGATATGCCTGTGAGGCGCCCATTTGTGAGGAGCAGATCCCGTCACTAAGACGAGATAGAGTCTAAATCTCCATCGAGACAATATCTATCTGCACCTCACGAACGGGCGCCTCATATGTACATCCGCCATGCATTGAGAACATCTCCCGTGAATAATAATTCATAAGTACGGGAGATGCTCCCAATGCATGGTAGGATGTGTGTGTGAGGCGCCATATGTGAGGAGCAGATCCGTCTCATCTCAATCATATAATTTAAGGGTATAATATAAAAACCTCCCTTTAAGTTTTTGACAATCACAAAAACCTCCCCTTAATTTTTAAAAAATTCAACAAAAATCTCACTTTTGTCACAAAATCCTCCCCTAGATTTTCCAAATACCCATTTTACCCTAGCCAAGTCGGAAGCAACATATCCAAAACCACTATTGTCCATCTCCTAACAATGCCATTTGACATTAGCTAGGGTTTGATGAAACAATTCACCATTCAAAAACATAGACTCTGGTACTGGTGGTGATGCATGCTTTAATGCCTTGAAGACTTAGCAACCATAGGCGCCAATGTTGGAGCCAGTGTTAGCATTGGCATTGGCAAAGCCTTGAATAACTCCTTGGGTAACAACACTTTGTCAATCGTGTAAATCGCCTGAGGATGTTGGTCTAGCAACATCCTCGTTATCTTGGACGCCACGATCTTCTCCAATTTTACCAACTCACCGTTGTTCTTAATTTTGGAATAATACTTATTGGCACCATCTATTGCTAACGTGTTCACAACTCTATTGTTCGACCTCAACATTTTCATGGAATAGTAAACAGGAATTTCATGATACAACAACAAATTCTTCCCATCCGCTGTTAGGTTATTGCATTTGGGCATGAAGTCCTTAAACACCTGGTTAGTGGGGCAGAACACTATTAACCCTCCTTCAATGTTGTTGTCAAATGTCTACTCAGCTTTGGAAGCCACTAGCATATCCGCGGAAACCTTACAACCTCGCTCTGACATTAGAGATGTGAGGTTTAGCTAGCTGGGACCCGGAGTGGGGGTTTCATCTTCAATGGATGCCATGACCTTGCCATGGTTGGATTCAACTCCAAAGCCGACCTTGCTGCCTTTGAGATCGGGGATATTGACGAAGCTAGAAGAGCTGGGGGCGGAGCCAGTGCTTGGAACATAGTGGTAGTCAAGACCATATTGTTTGCCATTTTATGCAACTTCTGTGCACCAAAATTATCGAGGAGAACATGAAGGGATAGGATGTTTTTGATAATTTAATGGTGTAGATGGAGAGGTGCTTGGGTAGGAGGTCTGACATGCTGCCATTGTAGATTGCGCAGATCATGATGGTCTCGCATTGGTTGTTCTCTACGACGAGTTGAGTGATAGCTAAGTGTTGGTTGAAGATGGAGATTCGGGGTACTTTGCTAGGATGCACGTGATATTGTGTGCATCGGTGACCCCGACTAAGAGTAGGATGAGAGAGAGGGTTATTGTTTCGATGACCATAGGGAAGAGCTGCATTATTTGACTAGAACGAAAATACAATAGCGGTTTTGGGTGTGTTGCTACCGATTTTGTTAGGGTAAAATGGGTATTTGGAAATTTTTGATGCACTAGTTTAATGCTTTTCCACCTGGATTAGTGACAGAAGGGAGGTTTTTGTTGAATTTTTTAAAAATTCAAAGGGAGGATTTTATTAAAGTGAAACTATAGGGGATATTTTTATGATTGTCAAAACCTCAAGGGAGGTTTTGTATTTTACCCTAATTGTAAATTTGTATTTTCGTGTTATCAATGTGTTTCATACACACTTTGCTTTATGGATATGCACCACATACGCACATCGTGAACATCTTGGTTGTAATGTGTGGTGTGAGTAGGAATGGGTAGGGCTCCAGTGGAATTCGTATTTAGTCCTCACAAGCCACCTCACATTATCCTCATAATCCATTTCAGCCGTGCAATGGGAATATCTCTCATTCAATAAAAAATGCAAATACAAAGATGATTCTAATGCACGACTGCAAAAAGGCTGTGAGGCGGCTCAATTATGATCAAATCCAAGTTCATCGAATTTATGCCTGATTGTCGATATATTGGGAATATCTCCCTCCAAAGGCCATATTCACTTTTCAGTAAATTAATTACTCGGGTAAATACAGTTATCTAGGTAAGTTTTTCTTGGGAAACACTTACCCGGGTAAGTGCATTTACCCATGTTTTTTATTTCCCATGTAAATAAGGCAATGATCATTTTAAGCTTCATAAAAATCTATCATTAAAAGGGGCATTTTTTGTCTCATTCAACTGTTGGACTGTTGGCAACAACAATGTTTTAAAAATAAACCTAGAGGCTGAATTGCTTTTACCTTTGAGGCGTGGGTCACCCTAGTTTGACCATTCGAGTTAAATGGGTCAGATCATGACATGTAATCTAACAAGTATTACATCAATAAAATAATATATGCATACATATGTATTAATTTAAGTTTAATTTATATTTCTTTATTTATAAAAATATTAAAAATTGGGATTTGAGTCCATAAAAGAGGTTTTTCTTGACCACTGAAAATTTATATATTATAACCTGGATTTGAATCCAGGTTGAACATATCAACGGTTCAACTACATAGGCTAGATAGTTTTTTATCAAATCAACAATTTTTTAACAAACCTTGAGTTTTAGGAAAATTGAACCCAGAATCATGGCAAAGTGACGGTTTAAACGGTTTGATTGTTTGAATCAATAGAAGGTTCAAAACGTTGGGCAAAACTTGCATGACCACAATTATAAGTAGTTGTTGCCAAAAATAACAATTGTCAACTATTGAGCAAAACTATTCTAAATATGAATGACAATGGAAGGTTAGGGTGGGCACCACACTCCCCATCCTTGACCCAGACTTTTTAGTCCTCGTCTTGACTCCTTACCCAATCCTTGATGAAGACCAACTTCCTATTAAGGGCTTGAATCATTGAATTTTTTAATTAATAATTTTTTTGGAAAGAAAAGATCTCTTAAAATAAAGAAACTTTTCATAATATAAATAATATTTTAAATATATTTTGATATATAATTTAAATAATATATATTTAAAATAAATCATATCACTACAACAAATTCCAATTATAATGGTGTTTTTCTAAATGCCATTATAGATCATCTTTAATGACATATCTTAAAAATGCCACTATGTATTTTAACCATCACATTTTAAATTGCTGCTCAAATATAATATAAATGCCACTATAATTCTTGATGTATCTCTAATAAATTGTGCCCAAAAAAGTAATTAAAGTATTAAATGCCACTATACATATAATCTATTTTCAACTATTAAAAGAACAGTAAAAGAAAAATGAGCGCTAAACTTTCCCGTTCACAGGTGTTTGGGTTCTCCTTTTCCCCTATCTCGTTTTGCGTTCTCCTCCATTCATCCTTGAAACTCATATCATGTTAAGGTTCGTGGATGAGTTCACTGCAATCCACTTTAACATTCTTATCCATCTGTGTGAGTTCTTTTTCTATCGATATTATATTATTTTCATTTTTTGCTTGGTCTATAGGGGCTATGGCGGAGCTGTCCTAGGGCGATGTTCATGCGCCGAGGCCACTACAAGAACAGAGGACTTTATTGAAATGGTTGTCCTTTTAAAATCTTCCTCTAGATCCTGAAGGGAATACCTTCAATGGTGCAGGTTATCTCTTTTGTTTGCCTTAGACATCCCTTACTCGCGTCTTCATCCTTGTCCTCTTCTACCTCATTCAAGCCCTTACCTGTCGTTGAACTTCCCTATCAAGATTTGCTTCCATCCCTTTGAACATTAGCAACCATGATGATAGTGACCTTAATTAGCAGATCGAGAAGCTTTTGATAAGTTCTATAGTTGATGACCTTCCCATTTTTGTTGTCTTTTTTCCTTATTGGGTTCTCTATTTTTCTTATTTTTGTTCATTGTGATCCTTTTAAGTTTTATTATAGTTCATTAATTCTTTTTAGTATATTTATTATTGTAGTAAAGGGCAACAACGTATGATTTAGCTTTAGTCATGTGCATTTGATGATTGTACATCCCCTAGTTTTTGGTAGAATGATCAAATGAAATTTGTATTTTCAGATGGTTTCTACTTACATTGCTCTGGGGATATATTAAAGGGATATATATTGTCGGTATGCTAGGTAGATACTACCTTATGGCTTATTTTTCAGTGTTTACGGTGGATCATTCTGCTTGATGTAGTTATACTTGGTCATAACTGAAATTTTCAACTTAATGCGTGAAAAAGAAATGGGATAGTTGCCCTGTGTAGCTTCTAGGACTTAAGAACGAGATTAATTTTGAATTTGATGGCTAGAGGCATGATTTAGGTCAATTGGTGCTCCCTTTGTCAGTAGGGGTGGGAATCAGTCA